TTGCATTTCAACATGCGTAGATTTTATAACGTCTTTAAGCAGGGTTGGCGTGGAGATAAACAATTTTGCTTGTTGCACAACAGGTATGTGACTACATGCTCCGGTGAACTAGCGTTCTCAGGCCCGAAAGACGTAAAGTATCGCTAGCATATTAATGCGTGTTGTCAACATTTAAAATCAAGCATACAGTAGAAACAAATGTTAGGCCTGTTTTTACTGCCAGTATATAATTTTTAGTGCGAATGTGTAACATTGGGGCGCTATGGATTAAATGACTGATGCAAATATTTGCATACATCAGATTGAAATAACTGTTTATCTTGCCAGCAGAAACAGAGATAAAGCTGAGGATGCTCTCGAACGACTGATCTCAAGCGAGAAAATCGTAATTCATTTCGTTAAAGTCGTAAATGGAACTTCGCTGAAAACTGCAACTGTGGATGCTCATTAGTCGCCTTTTTAAGTTACAAACTTATGCCATCCAGCGACCGAACATGTCGAAGACGGCTGTTTTGAACCTCAGTTGGTAGATTAAATGAGCTTTTCACGATATCCGAAACGACCGAAGACATTCTGCAACTTGGTACTGGTTGCTGTGGTTGTCGTTGCCTTCCTGGGAAAAGCCTGTGGCCACTTGTTGTGAGCGTCCACGATAATGAGAAAACTTTGTCCGTTCACGGAACCCGTGTAGTCCACATGTATCCTCGACCACATTTTTTGGCACTGGCCAAGAACGGAGTTCACATGTTCCAGAGGACGCGCATTGGTGATAAGATTTTACGAGCTTTTCTACTTGACTGCCAATACNCGCCCGAAATTAGATCTTATTAATTTTTGCTTTCTGTTTATATCCTAAGCATCAACAGAGGCTGTAAAATAGCCAGTTCAATAAGATTTTATTTGACAGATCCATGAGATTTAGGATTTTGCCAATCATAAATATGACTGTTTTTGTTGCAAGGATTTTAAATGTCGTTTTATTTGCCGCCATCATCATCAGTGGATGATTTGCTGTTGTTGTTGGCAACATCCACTTTAATACATACCAGCTTCCCAGAAAAGTGATAATCGAAGCTTGAGTGTCAAACCTTTTGCACCAGTGTATTTAACCAGCTGAGCATTTTTGCAAATATTTAACGATTCAATCCATCGGCTATCATGCGTTTTAGAGGTTATCTTTTCGGCCCTCTTACACGGTTCAGTTTGTTTATTTCTTTTTCCTCTGCAGCGTTAATGAGCAGCTCTTCACACATTTGTGGCGTTTTATGTCCGAAACCTTATGAAAAACTCAACACAATGATCAATAATAGCTTTGTTTTATACGGTTCACCGTTTTATAAATCTTTTTAGTGCACTAGCTTAAAGCAAGCAAACAACTTATTGGTCCAGTGCTTACGGTACTAAGCAGACCTCCCACGCGACGGAGCTTTTTGGGATCCTATGTAAAATCCTCAAAACTCAAACTGCCTCTACCAGCTTCTTCACTTAAACTCTGATATAACATGAAAATAAATTAAGTAAATCCTTCAGCTGTAACATCCTTCCGGTGCCTAGCTGTCATGCCACCCGAAGGAAGCACGAGGG